TTATAATCATTATGCCCTAGTGCCCTTTGGTTCCCTCTATTCTTCCTCCAGAGCCAGAATTCTAGATTTAAAAAAAAAAAAAAAAACTATTCATTTAATATAAGAGGCACCACTTTTGGCCTAATTATCCTTTAAACAAACAGGTCTGAAAGGAAGCTATACCTAGGCGCATCATAAAAACAAAAGAGAAAGAGAAAATCTTGAAAGAGGACAATAAAAACAAAAAACCAACCAAATAAACAAAAAACTATTCATTCAACAGTGTATATCTTATCACCAAAACCAAGTTTTATGCTCCTTACCACTGGTAAGGCTCTATTAATACTGAATGATCACCCAAAACTTAAATAAACATTCCAACTATACCAATGAAGTACAGGAGTCTATTTGGGAAGTTAAATTTTAAAGGATCAAAAACAATCCTAGGAGTAGTATGTGCCTACGGTCACAGCAACTCGAGAGGCTGAGGCAGGAGCATTGTTTGAGCCCAGGAGTTTTAATCCAGCCTGGGCAACATAGTGAGACCCCATCTTAAAAATAAATAATTAAATAAAACAGTATATAGGAGTAATCTTCAAAAGTAATACTTAAATGACCTTGAAATGCTGTGGGAGCAAGCAGAAATAAGATCTTTTTCACTCTTGTGATACTGTTTTCAAATTTTGTAAGTGACTCAAACAGAAGTACATTATTTACTTACTGAGATAAAGATGTTTAGCAAATTCTCCAGAGTTGGGAGTTGTGGAATCAGTTTCTGAACCACTTTGCTAAAAGCTTCAAATATTGAATGATCATATATGCTTGTCAGATAAAAGCTGAAAGAGGAAACAGTATTTCATCACATTTTCCCTTTGACTAAGGAATAGACCAGTAATCTGCCTTCTGTATCTATAGTTCTAACACACACATTCCAGCCCCACCCCCAGAATTGACAATGACCTCAATCAAAAACGAGCATATCTTAATGAGCCACTCCTCCCCACCTTCCAAAAAGCCACAGTTGTGTCTACTCTCACCTGCTGACTGGCAAGCTTAAAAGTACAGCAGTAGATGCCTATCCCAGCTTCCTGACAGTCTGCCAGAGAATCCACATCAGATCATCTTTATGCAAGCTTCTTAGGTTGTCCAATTAGTAACCGTTATATTTTGATATTGAAGCATCTAATATTTTTCATTTTCCAGTTTGCAAAATGAATGACACATGTACTACCCCACAAAAATGAGGCAAAGTTGTTTTTCTTTATGACTATTTGTTTGGATTGTTTTCAGACTACTCCTTTAGCTATAATTATAGATAATATCATATTTACCAAGAACTGTAAACTTCTGCATCAACTAACTTCCTGAATTATATTGATGGGTTTTATGTTACGTGTTTTCATATAGGGGGGCAACCTTAGCTTTGACCATTTGTTAAAAAACAGTGCTTTCACTGAAGATTAGAATGAACACTTGCAAAGCTCATTTTCCCCAAATCCTATCCCAGTGTCTATAGCATAAAACAGGGTAAACAAGGTAAATCAGTGCTCATGCCAAGCCAACTGTGGTGACTCTGGACCCCAAACCTGCTTTTTTCCATCCTTGACTGGGATCCCTAAGGGGTTTCTGTTCTCACCTGAGGTGAATTTTTTCTAATCCAGCATCTGCAAGGTCATCATTTGCCCTCTGGTGAATATCTCTTTGGGTTTCAATTTTGTGGTCATCTGACAGACCATCCACTTTATGAATAAACACCTCGAAGTTGATGTCGGTATTCACTTTGTAGGCCCTGGTCACCGTGAGGTGCAGCCTGGCCAGGGCTTCCATGTAATCGTCCTAGGATCAAAGGCAATGCCTGTGAGAGGAGGCTGCTTTGTTTTCTGAACCTTCCACACACACTCTTCATCTGGAAACAATGTGGCTATAACTCCCCAAAATATTTTACAAAGCCTCCCCAAAAAGAGCTGGCTTCCTAGAATTCAAGTTTGAAAACTTAACTTTTGTTATTAACAAACAGAAGAAAAAGAAAGCCTAAAAAAATGCAGCTGATTAAGGCAGTTATGATTTAGGCTGATAGAAGTCAGAAAGATCAGAGCTGTATTATAGTTTCAGGAAGAGAAAAGACCCCATGCCAATGACCCCACCCCAAGATATTGCCTGGAATACTATTCTTCCCAGCTTTTTGAGCTCTTGTGAACTGTGATGAACAATTAGATATGGAGAAATGATACGGGTCATAGGGAGGATGGGGAAGGAGCTGGGGGAACAGTTTTAAGAACCACTGGTCCAAGATACTGGCGTGGAGGCGGAGAGAAAGGAACACTCATACACTGTTGATGGGACTGCAAACTAGTACAACCTCTACGGAAAGTAGTAGGAGACACCACAAAGAACTAAAAGTAGACCTACCATTTGATCCAGCAATCCCACTACTAGGTATTTACCCAAAGGAAAAAAAGACATTTTATAAAAAAGACACTTGCACTCGAATGTCTATTGTAGCACAATTCAGAATCGCAAAGATGTAGAATCAACCTAAGTGCCCATCAATGCATGAGTGGATTAATAAAATGTAGTATATGTATACCATGGAGTACTACTCAGCCATAAAAAAATATGGTGAACTAATACCTTTTGTAACAACCTAGATGGAACTGGAGACCATTATCCTAAGTGAAGTATTCCAAGAATGGAAAAACAAACACCACATGTACTCTCTATGAAACTGGAACTAATCGGTCAACACTTATGGGCACACATGGAAGCAAAACAACGTAAATCAAGCAGGTGGGGGGCAGGAGGAGGATGGGTAAAATCACACCGGATGGGTACAATGCACACTATCTGGTGATGGTCACACTTATAGCTTTGACTCAAACTATACAAAAGCAATTCGTGTAGCCAAAACATTTGTACCCCCATAAATATACTTAAATTAAAAAAAAAAAAAGAACCACTGGTCCAAAGCAGAAGTCCAAAAACCACAGCCCACAGGCCCACTGCCTATTTTTTTAAAAGTTACATTGGAGCACAGCCATGCTCTTTATTTACATATTGTCTAAGGCTGCTTTCCTGCTACAATGGCAAAGCTGAGCAGTTTTCCTCTGTGGAAACTCCTCAGAGATAGTACAGTTCTTCAAAGCCTAAGATGTTTACTTTTTGGCCATTTACAAAAAAAGATTGCTGATCCCTGGTCTGGAGTACTTGCCCCAAACAACACAATGCTATTTTTTTTTTTTTTCGAAAGATGGTCTCCCTACGTTGCTCAGGCTGGTTTTGAACTACCAGCCTGAAGCAATCCTCCCTCCTCAGCCTCCCAAAGTGCTGGAATTACAAGTATGAGCCACCACACATGACCCATGATACTATTTTTTTTCCTTCTCTCACCTATATATAATATAATGAACATCGATGTATCCATCTCTCTGTTTAAGAAATAAAACGTTTACACCAAAGCTCTCTGTGTTTCTCCCCATACTCCCAGCCCAGCCTATCCCTCTACCCTCCAGCCTCCAGAGGCAGCCGCTATCCAGAGTTTAGTGTTTATTTCCACTCATCTCTTCATACATTACTACATACATATATATATCCTCAAACAACACACAGAATTCATTTACATTGTTTAAAAACCTACAGAAATACCAATTGGTATGTATATTATAGTTTGCCTTTTTCCTTCAACATTATGTCAGTGAGATTCACCTATGTTGAATGTTATGTAGTGTGTAACTCTAGTGCATTAATTCCTTTTAATAGCTCTATAAAATTTCATTTTATGGATGGTCTATAATTTATCAGATATTTGCTTGTTGATGGACATTCCAAATGTTTCCAAGTATGTGTACGTACGATAATGTGAACAGCCTCATGTACACATGGCTCGCCCTGAAGGCTGACTTGTTGGGTCACAGGTATAAGCGCCTTAATGTGCCCGCACAGCGTGTAACAGCGCCTAATGCTCCAGACTCTCACCAGCACTTGGCGCTGTCAGATCTCGACTACTGCCAATTGGAAGGCTGTGAACAGGTCTTGTTTTCATAGCAGAAAAAGGAAAGCAATCTGTAGGACAGAATTGAAGGAGCTTTTCATCCCCACTTACAACTCCGAACCTGGAAAATACAGAACGCCAATATAATGGGGATGTTTTCTGGCATTCTTCTATTCTCCAAACTGAATCAATAAAAATGTCTTCCTAGTCTCTAGATAAATTGAAATATTAAATATATTAACTGGAAACTATGAAGAGAGAAAAATAACAAACAGAGTCCTTCTCCTTTATATTCTCAAGAGTTATTTAAAATAAAAGGCAAATATTGGACATCGGGTCAGTAGATTAAGCATTAAACAAAAACTAAAGTTATTACTGCACAATTCCACATGCATGAAGTTCTAGAAAAGGTAAACTAATCTACAAGTAACAGAAAGCATATCAGTGGTTGCCAAGGGCTAGGTGTTTCGGAGGACTGTCTGAGGAAGGGTATAGGGCAGGTTTGGGGAGGCAGAAATATTCTAAATCTTGAATGAGAGGTGGTTACATGGTGTACGCATCTGTCAAACCCATTGAACTGTGCACTTAAAATGAGTGCATGTTATTGTATGTAAATTATACCTCAAAAAAAGTGTTATTGCTTATGTCTTTAAGCAAAGAAGGGAGTTAAGGGAACATGTCTGTGAGCAAAACTCCCCATGTCAAGAGAGCATCACATCTCAAAAGATTAGCAATTGCCACTCTAACCTCCCTGCCAAGCATCTGAAAGGGCATGATTACCAACAAACTGATGAAGTGGCACATAGCTATAAGGACTGAAAATGACATTAAAAAGAAGAAAATACTTGGTTGATTAGAACAGAGGGACCGTAAATGATTTTTCCCATTGCTTATTATTAACCTCCTATGACAAATAAAAATAAAGCAGATATATACTGCCTCCAAAATTAGACCTAGGGATTACAGGCAGGTCACAATCACCAGCACGGGTCACGTGGAAACTCCCTTTTGGATCCAAAGGCACTGTGGGCACGGGGTGGAGAGGTAGTGGGGTGTCACACAGCTCACAAGAAATCACGCTTGCTTTAAGTCTTTTTTATTTCACAACATTCTGTGAGGACACATTTTCTCTTTGGGGATATATTTATCTGGTAATCTTGTTACTGTGAGGAATTCACAAGCAAAAAATAAAAATATGAGGTGTCAGACCAAAAGAGCACTGCTTAGAAATAAAGGAAAGGGCCAGGCGTGGTGGGTCACGCCTGTAATCCTAGCACTTTGGGAGGCCAAGGAAGGAGGATCGCTTTAGGTCAGGAGTTCGAGACCAGCCTGAACAACACCGCGAGACCCTGTCTGTACCAAAAGACAGAAAAATGAGCTGGGCGTGGTGGCATGCACCTATAGTCCCAACTACTCAGGAGCTAAGGCAGGAGGATCACTTGAGTCCAGGACTTTGAGACTGCACTGAGCAATGATCACAACACTGTACTCTAGCCCAGGCAACAGAGCAAGACCTTATCTCAAAAAACAAACAAACAAAAAAAGAAATAAAGGAAAGGACACTCAAGTGCTGCTGAGACACCTCCTCAAAGTTTGATTTGCCTTTTAGTGCTTGTAATCACATCACATAAAGATTCCTGCAAACATGATTTTTACAGTCTGTTTCCAATAGAAAAGTATATTAGGCTCTGAAACTGCTTATTTAATTATTCCTTATTTAGTAAATGATGGCACTCAACAATGTTTTTCCTACTTGTTTTAAAAGCGTAACTTAAAAAGATGAATTTCTCAAATATTTTTATACCTTTCCCTGCCCTACAACTGAAAAAACCCACAACAAACCCAAGAGCCAGGCACAGTGGCGTGTGCCTATAGTCCCAGCTACTCAGGAGACTGAGACAGGAGGCTGACTTGAGGCCAGGAGTTTGAGGCTGCAGTGCGCTATGACTGCCCCTATGAACAGCCACTGCAATCCAGTCTGGGCAACATGGCAAGACCCCACCTACAAACAAATAAATAAATAACTTGAGAAACTAAAATAAAAACACATTTGCTAATCCAAATTGAAGGTCAGCTTTTCATGTTCAGGAAAATTAAAACAAAATTACAGTTCCAATTTAAAAAGAGGCAAGCAAATCCATTGTAGCTACATTATAGCCATATTACAAACACCTAAGATAGATTTGTATTGGAAATTTGAGTTCCATAAATACAAATTGCTATGTAAGCACAACATAGTATTTAAGTATTTACTAAAGCCATTGTCTTGAAATGCTGAGTCATCTGGCTGGAAACCTACTTAGCTATGGGTAGGACTACTGCTACTGCTACCTAGCTCAACAACCACAGCAACCAGCGGCTGTATGACTTAGGGAGAAAAATGGAGCTTAAAAGAGACAGATGAACGTGACATCCCTGGAGCCTCCCCTCCCAGGCAGCAATGTGCACACACCCCATCCTTCCCCTCGGGCTCCAAGCTCCCTAATTTATGGTTCTGGCAGACTTGAGACAGGAAGGCAGGGGATACTGCCAAGACCATAGATGGGCCAGAAAACAGGTCAGTGCAAGTGGGACAGCCAGGAAAGCAGCTGCTGACAGCAGGCCCTGGACTTGGTGCAGGTGTCTACAAGCAGGCACAACACATGCATTTCTGCATAGGCCTGTGGGAAGAGTGTGAACCGCTGTTCATAGATGAGGCATTGGATTTAAAGTCTCTACCCTCCACACCCCTACCAGAAAAGAAAAAACTCCTGTAACCAAACGGCTATGCTCCCACAGCCATGCAAGAGGTAAACAGTGCAGCTACTTGGAACTGAAAGGCCTGGTTGAAAATTTCATTATTGCATTA